TTGCTCCACCACCACGCCCCACCCCCCCGCCCCGGGCCGCCTGCCCTCCCTCAGCTCCTGCCCTTGGGTGCTCACCCTTCACACCTCTGCCCTGCTCGAAGGAAAGCGCACCCCAGCCACCCCTGCTCCCGAGCCCCGGTTTTCCTTTCCTCTGATGCCAACTTGTCGACCTGCTCATCACAAACCCGCGGCTTCCAACCTCTGCTCACTTTCCCCAGCGGAACACACGAGGTCTCCTGAACTCTGACGGGAGTCCCAGCAGGGCCGCTGGGTGAACTTTCCTCCCTGAGGCCGTTTCTAAGGGGGTACTGCCGTCTCCTGGGAGCAGCCCCCACCTGTGCCAGGAGCGCCACCAAGTGACAGCACAGCCAGCCAGAGCCCTGTCGGCAACCCAGGCCGAGGGCCAGCACAGGCCCCCGTGGGTGCTTCCAGCCGAGGGCCCTGGCAGGTGTGCCCCAGCAGTGTGTGTGGAGCTGGTCCCCGACACAGTCCTGCCCACGCTGGCGTCACACCCATCTCCAAGGCACCCAGCACACCTGCTGCTCCACGGGCCTTCCAGGTCCATGTAACTGACTGGACCTTCACTCCATGCCGGCCCCTGCTCCCCTCAGTCACACAGAACCCCTCACTGCCCCACGAGCAGCCACGCCCACTCAGGATCACTTACAAACTCCTGGTGCAAACCTGTTTTCTTTTTTTTTTGGAGAGGTTTTTGCTATAGGGCGTGTGCGCTCGGCAGACAGACAGAGAGAGACAGAGAGATAGAAAGTGAGAAATTACCCCCCAGGGGGGATGGCCATGCCACAATCCCTTCTCCATTCTCCTCTCAGGATCTTGGGCACGCACGCACACGCGCCCAGCATGAGTTGAAGCCACTGGGTGTCCAGCGATATAGCCATTACTCTAACTGCTGGTCCTGCAAACCTGTTTTCTGAGGGCCCACCACATGCAAAGGCCTGAGAGCAACGAGACCAGCAGGGTGGGAAGAGGGGAGGACCACGCCGGGGCTCGACACCTGGGTGCCATGGGTTGAGGGAGG